AGGGCATTAAACAATTTCTGCATAGAAGTAAAGTGTTTGATTTAATAATATTTGAATATGTACGGGCCTTGTCGCTCACTCAAAAAAAAAAAAAAATTGAACATGTTATAAGCAAATGTGAAGTACCTTGCTCCTGTGCAGAGTTGAGGTTCTCACAAGATGTCTTTTTTGGGGATGCGAGAGATATGTGGCCAGTATTCCCCTTTGCAGCGACTTGAAATAACTGGAGACCAAGAGATTTCCAAATTCTGAAGGGTAGCACTTTGGAGAATAGAATCCGGCAACATCTTTAACTTCTCACATTCGAAAATCGCCAAGGAAGAAAGACGTGGCATGATTTTGATATCCTCTTCTCCTCTGCTTCCATAATCCCACTCTTCCCATTCCTCCATTTCCCAAAATTCCAGTGATTTTAAATTGGGAAAGGCAACAACAGCTGATGAAGAAGAAGATGAAGACAAAGATGACGTTTCTATTCCCAAGAATTCAACTCCCACCTTTTTCACTCCTCCAATTTTATGCAGATAGAGCGATTCCAGTGATGGCAATTTCCACAAGGGAGGCAACTGTTCAACGTCAACACAATTACAGAGCCCAAAGAACTTCAGCTTGGTTAGAGACACTATCCAACTGGGCCAAACTCCTAAGGTTGGGGTTGGGCATTTGTAGGCCCATATTCTTAACCTTTCCAAGTCTAAAGGCGGTTCTAAGGCTTCAAGAACAGATGCTTCAGAAACTTGGCTCTCATCAGACCAAGTAGAACCAATAGTCAGAACCAGAGTAGTGAGCCCCTTCTTATTTCGTAACTGTGCCTTCTCAGCCTCTCTCCCATCTCTGACATTTCTCAATCCACTTATCTCAAGCTCCCCTCGAAGGTGAATCAAGTTTCCCAATTCACTAAGAGCAGCTCCTTTACCACCACTGTCCACCACGAACAAACTTAATGTTCGCAAACAAGCCAATTTCTCCATTCCTTTAGGCATGAATTCCAGGCAATCTGTATACCCATTCCAAAGATGCCGCAAATTTATTAGATTTCCCATTCTACAAGGCAAACTTCTAAGCTCCTCACATCCATTAATGTCTAGTATAAGCAAATTATATAAATCACAAACAGCCTCAGGCAATTCCTCTAAAAATCTATTATCGGACAAGTCAAGAGACCTTAAATGTATCAAATTTCCTATCTGTTTTGGACATTTATTAATTCTTCTAGAATGGCATTTCAATATTCTCAGACATTTAAGCTTAT